TGAGCGGAGTACTTAACCTCTCTGTGCCTTGGTTGCTTCATTCACAAATGGGGAGAGTCAGAATGGTGACAGGCTTCCTAGGGCTTCAGCAAGATTACATGAGTTAACATAAAGTGTCCACTACAGTGCCTGGCACACAGTAAACACTCAACAAGTGTTCAAAATTATTCACAGGGAAGATTCCCCACGGTGAAATGAATTGGGAAAACACTGGGCTGAAGATAAATAGATTTCTTCATGCAAAGATTTCTCAGAATAACAATATTAATAATAATAATGGTATGGACCTCAAAGGTTGAGAAGATTAAATGAAATGATGGTGTGGAATGCTCAGTCCCCACCATGCACGTAATGGGTACTTAATAAACATTACCCATGAGTGTTATTAATAAGCACGGGGGCGGGGAGGAGGGATCTTTAAGAGAAGCGGACATGCAGCGCTTCCCAGACTCCTGTTCTTTTCCTACAGAGCATCTGGCAGAATCTGTGCAATAGGAAGCACGTGCTGGGAAAAACCCCAGAGGGGGATGGCCTCGTGTTTTCCAACTATGTCGCCAAGGGGCTGAAAGAAAGGATCTAGGCCAGGGTGAGAACTACAAGGATTCGGTTATCAGGAAAAGGATATGGATGGAAGAAAGTGCTGGGCTGGAGGGTGGGGAGACCTGGGAACCCCCTCCTCCAGCTTTCCCACACTCATCGTGCAGGGTCGTGTCCCCATGGGAGGGGCAGGCGCCTGGGATCCAAAAGAGCTGATTCGGCGTGACTTTGCCACTCTCTAGCTGGGTGACCTTGGGCAAGTCACCGGGCCCCTCTGAGCCTGGTATCTATTCACCTGTATAATGATGGAACGTGGGCCATACACTTGAGCATTTCTAAGGTCCCTTCTCGATCCAGGATTCTATGTTGATGTGCGGTTCTACCCCAGTGGGGGAGGGCAGAGAAAAAGGAACACTATCTAAACCATACTGTCTTCTAACCACGATCCCTGATTCTAGACTTATTAGGGGTGGTTTTCAGAGAGGTTCTGACGTCTGCTCACTCACTCAGCCACTGCATTCCCTATGGATTGAGGAATCTCATAGAGAAAAATGGTTGAGTGTCTAGCCAAACTCCTATCTGTCAAGGGCTGGGGAAGAGAGAGGGGATGAAAGGGCCCACGTTAACCCCTTCTGTATCTGAAGAGACTGTTCGACCCACCATGCCAAAAGGTCAGCGTTTTAGAAGAGTTCTGGTGACCATATGTCATATTTTCCAAACTGACCATCAGGACCCACGATGTCAGAAAGGGATTTTCGTGCCACTGGTTACAAGATGCAGCCTCGGAGACGGAATGCGGAAGCTGACATTCTCAATTTTGGTAAGAGGCACATGGTTTGTGGGCGACAAGGGACAGAACAGCTGAAAACAGGAGTATCCCAAGAAGTCCACGTAACATGAGCAACACGCAGGGGACCATCCCTTCCTCTGTACATCTGTATGTTCTCCACCCCAGGAGCGCTGCCCTTCCCACATCTATAGCCGTGACGAGCCTCCGCCTTGGAATTCCCATGGAGACAGTAAAAACCACCCTGGATGTTTGGATGGGCATCCACCTCTCCCAGCCGGGTCCAAGCCTCCTCCCAGGCCTCTCCAGCTTTCCCCTAGGCTTAACTGCAAGACTTCCTTCCACTAAACTGATTGCAGGGTCACGATTCCTCCCCCATTTAACTTATTACACCACTAAGAGACACAATGACCTACTTGGGACTTCTGTATTCACACCAGAGCCCCTGGGCTGTGAACTTCTCACAGAAGGTTGAACTCGGCGGCACCTCCCCACGTTACAGGCAGAGCACTGGTCCTGTCCTTGGTCCTGACCCTGTTCTTAATTTCCTGCTGCCTATTGTCTCTCTGCTAAGTGCTGAACGAGGGAAAGGTACTATTTAATTGCTTCAAAGATATCAAACAAGCCAGGGTGGAGGTTATCTCCTCTCCAGCCCTTCTATTTTTCTGGTTCAAGGTCTGGTTACTTAGTTACTCAGCAAACTGCAGAGGAAGGGGAGGCAGCCCCGCCGGTGACAGCGCAGACTTCATTTGGCAGATGGAGGGGAAGTCGGAAGAACAGCCATCAGGACTCAAAGAGGGACCGGAACCCTGAGGGTAGCCGCCAAGTGCAGGTGGCAGCTCTCTCAAGTCATTCAAAGCCGGGAGAGGGAAGCCTCCCTTGTCCGGACAAAACCAACAATTGTTCTAGATTACACAGTTTCTGCTGTCAAGGTCAAGGTTGTTCAGACCCCACTCATCCAGCCCTGCGGTGGAGACAGGCGTGCCTGAGGTGGATGGATCAGGCCAGTACTTTTTCCAGGCTGGACTCACCCCACCTGCCTTATGGGGAGGCGGGGGAGAGGAGGCTTCACAAGGAAAGGACAGCGAAGGGGGATTTCACTGGATCAGATCATCCGAGATAAAGAGCATGGTTGGAGGAGGTCTTGGAGGAGACATGACAGCCGGTTGACCTGAGAGCCGGACCAGGGCAATCTGAGGCTCGGTGGCCCCTCCCCTGTCCTTGGAATGTACATTCCCTCGCTAGGAACCATCTCAAAGCCTTCAGAGCAATGTGTTGTCGAGACCATCCAGAATGAACACACGACTGAACCCCCTTAAGGCCTTTATATAAATGTCTAAGATTCTAGAGGGCGGGAGCAGAGATCTATGCATTTTGCAGCACCCAAGATAAGCCTCACGTGTGACTTTCTTGCTTCTTAAAACTGCCACCCACCAATCTTCAGTGGCTACCTTTCTTCCGTCTCTTCTTGCCCTCCGTGTCCAGGGGAGGCAGTTTTGAATTTCACCTGGGAAACTCCTGAGGTTGCAACCAAGACGACTACTAATCGCCCCAGCTAGCTGCCTTGAAGGGAGATGGTTATTCAGCCGATCCATCAGGGGCAGTCTGCTTTTGCTGGTAGTACTTATATAAAACTAAAACAAAAGCATTGTTGCATCAGGGTTACCCTGAGGGCTGGGAGGGGACGGGAAGGGGGACATTGAGAGCCACTGGTTCATTTCTTGTATAGGTTAGAAAACCGATTCTTTTTCAAAAAAACAACACAGGAGTTCGGCACCAACAGCTCAAGACCTTTGAAAAGATAATATGGTTCCCGGGAAAGGAATTTGAGGCCGGAATAGGCATTTCCTGGATCTTCCTTTTCTTCCTCTTTTCCTAGAAACCAGTTGGGTCATTCGTTTTTGTTGTTTTTTTTTTTAATTTTTTAAAAAATGTATTTATTTTTTGTTTATTGATTTTTGGCTGCGTTGGGTCTTCGTTGCTGCGCGTGGGCTTTCTCTAGTTGCGGCGAGCGGGGGCTACTCTTCGTTGCGGTGCGCGGGCTTCTCATTGTGGTGGCTTCTCTTGTTGCGGAGCACGGGTTCTAGGCCCACAGGCTTCAGTAGTTGTGGCGCACAGGCTCAGTAGTTGTGGCACGCGGGCTCAGTAGTTGTGGCTCGCAGGCTCTAGAGCGCAGGCTCAGTAGTTGTGGCGCACAGGCTTAGTTGCTCCGCGGCATGTGGGATCTTCCCAGACAAGGGCTCAAACCCGCATCCCCTGCATTGGCAGGCGGATTCTTAACCACTGTGCCACCAGGGAAGCCCTGGGTCATTGGTTTTAACCTAGAAGTTGCAACAGGTACTACTGCAGCAGCTCTGTCCCCCCCGACCCCCCCACCCCAAGCATGCAGGGTTCTCTTGAGCTCAATTCCACTCTGTCTCCTGGTACTATGACCACCCCTCCTTCTTCCAGTTGGTGGTGAGCAGGGGCACCCCTATTCTGTTGAGCTACCCGGATAACGATTCAAGCCCCATTAGGACTGACATCTCAGAAAGAGACACATCCAGTGATAACCCTTGATTTCCACCCTTGCGGTGGGTACCCCAAGACACAGACTTGCCCAGATAGAAACTAGCAGTTGATTACTACCTTACCTGGTGGTTCCAACTTCCCAGGTCACTCACCCATCTCTAGGGCTCACCGTACCTGCTAACCAGCCTCTGGACTGTAACTTTCACTGGTGAATTGCAAATCAGATAATAGCACAGTCAGAGCCAGCTCAGCCCACAGAAAAAAACTATAGTTGGCGTTGGCTTTCTGTTTCCCGTCTTCTAATACTGTACTCAGGATGGTGAGTGTGTGTGTGTGTGTGTGTGTGTGCGTGTGTGTACTTGGAGGAGGGTGAGGAAGGAGAGGCTGCAGGACCAATTATGACATTAAACTTGGAACAGAAGCTGAATCATCACAGTCAAAAAATAAATAGCTCTACCTGTACGGGACACAGCACCTACTTCATGCACGTCTGTATGCATTTGCTCCCTCACAGCAGGGAAGAGGAGGGGCTGTGCCGAGTCCGACCAGCAGGTGCCCACGGTCAAGGTTAAGGTAGGGGACGGGCTGCACGGCCACTGCGTCTCCAAGCTGTGGAAAGCTGGGAGGGCTGGGATGAGACGCTCCCTTGCTGGGCCTCTGACTGCTCCCGCACCCGAATTTTGGAACCCGAGTGCGGGCTCACACCCTGTGCGGAGGGGCGTTGGTCACCACATGGAGAAGGGCCTTCCCCGGACCCGTTTTCTCCCGCTCCATCCCCTGGCCCTGCGCCCGGGGATGACCCACTGCTTTGCAAACTTGTCTGAATGCAGAGATGGCAGAGGTCGCGGAGCGGGTCTGGGTCGCCGGGCGCCACTCCAGCTGCCTGGAATAGGCTGGGTGAAACAGAACAGACTCTGTGAAAGCGGACGGAAGACAGCGCGTGTCCCTGCCACCGGTCTTGGGGAGGCCGAAATCGCTCGACCCTTCGCGCCCCGCACGCGCGTCCCCTTCTACCCCGGGCGCCCACGACCTCCGCCCGGAGCCCCCCGCAGGATTCTCGGTGCGGCTCACCCCTGTCCGCCCACAGGACCGGGAGGGCGGAGCGAGCTGCCGTGACGTAATGGGGGGCGTGGGGAAATGAGCCGAGGGACCCGCGCTCGGCACGGCCAGTGCAGGCGGCGCAGCCACCCGCGCGCGCGGTCCGTCACTCGCGCCCGGAGCCTCAGTCCGCGGCTCGGCGCCCGGGATCTGTGGGCCCAGAGAGCTCTCGGCGGTGCGACTCGCGAGCGGAGCGGGCAGCTCTGGACGCCGAGCGCCGGCCAAGCGGCTGCGCACCCGGCTGGGTTGGGGACGGCCGCTGGGTGCCGGCGAACCGAGTTGGCGGATTGCAGCGGAAAAGCAAAGGTGAGCTGTGTGTGTGTGTGTGTGTGAGAGAGAGAGAGAGAGAGACAAGCACTTGGGCACCTGGGTGCGTCTGCGCTGCATGGGGGTGCGCGCGTCGGTGTGCCCGACTGTAGGTCCCGGTGCGTGGTTCCCCACCCTCGTGTTTTTGGGGGTGATTTTGGTGGGAATGAACGACAGCGGGTGTCCCGGCGTGAGTGGGGCGCCGTGGGTCGTGTGTGCTGGAACGGACGTGTCCGCACAGCTGCATGCTGGTGTGCGTGGCGTGCGCCCTTGTGCGGTCCTGGTCCCCCAGCCGAGTGTCCAGGTGACAGCTTCGACGGCGACAGTTCCTCTCCCATTCGCCCGCAAAAGAGCCGGGACGCGAGGAGAGCGAGGCCGGGGCGGGGGACACCGCCGAGGCTCCTGCGGATGCGCACCCGGGATCCGAGTCTGTGAGTGGGAAGCGACGGAGCAGGAAAGGGGTTCCTCCCTTGTTCTTTCTCGCCGGGCCTGGGACACGGATCCCGAGCGGTGCAGGGTCTGCTCCCCAGCGCCCGGGCGGAGAGAACAGGATGCCTAGGTGTGGAGAGACCGAATCTCTGACTGGCCTGCGCCCGCGAGCCGCCGGCCAAATCCCCGAGCGGCTGTCGCCCGCTCCCAGCTGTGCCTGACGCCCCGGCCTCTGCCTTCAGGGACAAGGGTGCTGGCAGGACAATCTTTAATCTCCTCCTCCTGGAAATAGAAGGGAATCCTTCAGGAAACCCTTGGGTCTGATGGTCAGCGAGGTGGATGGCGCAGAGGAGGATTTTCTGTGCCCGCCTGGAGAGCCAGCTGGGCGGTCCGGAGTCTCACCTCTCCCCACTGCCCTTCAGCCAGCGCTGCCTCGGCTTTTCCTAGGCGCACCAGCACCTCGGTGGCCGGCACCTGGCTATTGAGTCTCCCCCCACCTGTGGGGCTCACGCTTCAGCCGCCCGGTGACCCACTGGGGTTTAGGAGAACCGAGGGAAGTGGGGTGGGGCCTGAATGGAGGGAAAGATGCTGGGGAGAAGGGAAAAACTGAAGCTGAGCAGGATTTAGGACCACCCCGGATGCGTGGTCCCCATCCCAACATTCTTAGGCTGGGAACCACAGCCCCTCTGGGAGGGGAGGGGATGCTCTAGACCATTCTCACACTCCTCTCCAGAAGAGCTGGAGTCAGTCTCAGAGGAAACCAACAACCAGGCATGTCCAGTATCTAACAATTCTTAGGCTGGAAAAAATAAAGCAGAAAAACCAAACTTCCTGGTGCATTTAACCACAATCCAGCAACTAACGATGCCTGGCATCGGACTCCACTTTCAACGAGACACAAATGAAGCAAAGTCACTCAGAGACCGTAGGCAGCTGACTTCGCTGTTGATGCAGTAAGATTCACTGTGATTCAAACTCATTTCTTCTTTGGAGGAGGCTTCTCGCTCTGGACTGGTTCCCCAGCTTACCATCTCTGCCACCTTCACCAAGCTCTGAACTCTGTCTGTTGCTACCGCTCTCAAAAGTGGAGAATGCAGCTTCTCAGCCTAATTTCAAAAAAAAAAAAATGACCCTATGCAATTCCATCCCATTGTGTGAGACTCTAGCGGAAAAGGCAGAGTCAGGGCTGGAGGTCAGCATTCAACCAACCCACCCTCACCTGCATCATCACCCCTATCCCCAAAGCTCTACACAGGGCTTCTGCAGCCCAGAGGTCTTCAGTTTTACCCAGACATAGGAGTGTGACCTTGCACATCACATAGATGGGACCCTGGAAATGCTAGTGATGAATGTATACTCCAATGCAGGCGCCTTAAATAAGATTCTGGGTCAGAAGAATTTAAGTAACTAGCAAAACAGATAGAAATGATATTGGAAACAACCTATGTTAACTCAGGGATGCCAAAGATGGTTTCTTCACAGCTTCTGTTTTTAACAGCTGCCAGTTTATGCTTTTCACCCAGTGCAGACATTGAATCCGGGGTCCCCAAAGCACCCTGCAGAAAGATCAGTCACAAAGCCCAGACCCCACTCTACAGGCAGTTGTGTAGTGGGGAAATCAGCACAGAAAGGATGAGCAATGCGCCTGGCGGTGCAGAATGAACCGGAGGCAGAGGTGGGCAAGCATCCTGAGGCATTCGTTGCTGGCTAAGTCCCCTATAACTCATCAGCAGTCTCTCCAAGCAGAAAGGAGCTATCTCCAGTCTTCACTCAGGCACCAGGAAAAGGGCCCTGCTCAGAGGAAATGTGTCCACCAAATGAACTATTCCCGCTATGAGCTCAGCACATCACCCCTTTTGCAGCCTCCCTCTTCCCCGAATGACCTCTTACCTGCCCTCCCGGCTTCATGTATTCAAGACCCAGCTCAAACATTCCTCATGTGAAGCCTCCTCTGAATCCCCCAGCAGAGAAAGGCATTCTTAGATCCTTTGTTCATACCTCCATGCAACTCACACCCTGTAAGAGTTGGCATCCTTCCTGTCTCCCCTCCTAAGTTGTCACCTCCATATCTTGTTCATTCCTGTACCCCTGGTATCCAGAACAAAGAAGCCCCCCAGTGATGTTTTCTGAATGACTGTAGATAAATCATTTAATTATGTGATGAGCTATTGTTCTATATCTTAGGCCAAGCCAACAGTGTTACAATTACTTTCTCGGCGTGGAGGTAAAACAGGAGTCAGCTGCTTCAAACCAAAGCCCGGTTATCAGCCACTAGTTTTCCAGTCCACTGAGCAGCAGCTATGATGCTGCGAAAAGCGCAGAAGACCTGGGTGTCCTGTGTTCAAATCCCAGCTCCACCAATGATGTACAAGGGAATGGGAACAAGTTCCCTAAACTCTCTAAGCCTCAGTTTCCTCATCTGTAAAATGGGGATAATTATCCCCACCTCATAGGATGGTTGGCAAGGTCAAGGGGACAGCGGATGTGAACGAGCGACATCTGTGTTTGGAACTCACTTCTGTGAATGAGCCTTCCTCCCTCACACCGGTTCCTGTTTTTATGCGTAATCAGGGGATCACAGGCAAATTCTCTGGGGTGTGAAAAGATGAGCATCCTGCCGAGGGACTTGGGCAAGGACTCTCCGAGGCATGAGGAGGTCAAGCACGGAGTAACGAGAAACAAAAACGGAAGAAACGGGCTTCCCTGGTGGCGCAGTGGTTGAGAGTCTGCCTGCCGGTGTAGGGGACACGGGTTCGTGCCCCCGTCCGGGAGGATCCCGCATGCGGCGAAGCGGCTGGGCCCGTGAGCCATGGCCGCTGGGCCTGCGCGTCCGGAGTCTGTGCTCCGCGGCGGGAGAGGCCACGGCAGTGAGAGGCCCGCGTACCGCAAAAAAAAGAAAAAAAAAAAAAAAAAACGGAAGAAACAAAAATCAACTACAGCATACATTTGAAAAATAAAAGCAAGCCAGATCTTTATTTTTAATATTTAAGACTGTAAATTGGTTCCTCGTGTAGGCAGCTTTCAATAACTTAGAAATAAGTAAAATGGTAGATGAAAAAGGGAGAAAAGATAACATTTTTTAGAGTTCTGATGATGAAGCCAGCACAGTGCTGGGCATTTTCACCTCCACCGCATCACTTGGCCTTCATGACACCTCCACTGTAACAGATGAGAGTCAGAGCGGTTAAGTGCCTGGCGCGGGGTCACGTGGGCTCCATGGGTGAACCCTAGGTTTTTTTCACCTCTAAAGTCTGGGATTTTTCAGAATGGAAAGACTCCAAAGCAGTCGACAAGCCAACGTAGATTTCCTCAAGGGGAAAAGGCCAGGAATGCCGGCGTCAGACTCCTCTGAGGTCAGACCTCTCCAAGCTCTGCCTTTTTACAGAGCTTGGCGAGGTCCGGACCAGTTAGCTTCTTAGGAATCGCTGTGTTGCAGCCACCGCCAACTCCCATGTGTGCATCACCAAAGGTGACAAGATAAACTCTGATGACTTGACTCAAACCCTTTCCCCCCAGTGGACAAACAACTCAAAAAGCCTGCACGCTGATGAGAATGGGCTGGTAGGCTCACGTTGATGTGAAAGGTAACACACTTTCCAATTGAAGAGCATCTGACAAGGCAAACCAGAAACACGGAAAGCTGGTGAGAACTTAAGTGGCCTCTGACTGATGAATCAATTTTCCTTTTTTCCTTGCAGATGCCACAGTGGATCCTTTGCCTCCAGGACCCGTGAAGGTGAGAGTAAGATCTCTGGCTGGTGGGAACTAGCCTAAGCTGTCAGGCAGCCATGGATCTGGCATACGAACTACTCAATGGGACCCAACCTTGGCTTTCCTCTCCATTCGACCTCAGTGGCTCCGTGGCTACAGCCAACATTTCAAACCAAACAGAGCCATACTATGACCTGACCAGCAATGCAGTCCTCACCTTCATATATTTTGTGGTCTGCATCATTGGGTTGTGTGGCAACACGCTTGTCATTTATGTCATCCTCCGCTATGCCAAGATGAAGACCATCACCAACGTTTACATCCTCAACCTGGCCATCGCAGACGAACTCTTCATGCTGGGTTTGCCCTTCCTGGCCATGCAGGTGGCTCTGGTCCACTGGCCCTTTGGCAAGGCCATCTGCCGGGTCGTCATGACTGTGGATGGCATCAATCAGTTCACCAGCATCTTCTGCTTGACAGTCATGAGCGTTGACCGATACCTGGCTGTGGTCCACCCCATCAAGTCGGCCAAGTGGAGGAGACCCCGGACAGCCAAGATGATCAACGTGGCTGTGTGGGGGGTCTCTCTGCTGGTCATCTTGCCTATCATGATATATGCTGGCCTTCGGAGCAACCAATGGGGGAGGAGCAGCTGCACCATCAACTGGCCAGGCGAATCCGGGGCGTGGTACACAGGCTTCATCATCTACGCCTTCATCTTGGGGTTCCTGGTGCCCCTCACCATCATCTGTCTTTGCTACCTGTTCATTATCATCAAAGTGAAGTCCTCTGGAATCCGAGTGGGTTCCTCCAAGAGGAAAAAGTCTGAGAAGAAGGTCACCCGGATGGTGTCCATCGTGGTGGCCGTCTTCATTTTCTGCTGGCTCCCCTTCTACATCTTCAATGTCTCTTCGGTGTCCGTGGCCATCAGTCCCACCCCAGCCCTTAAGGGCATGTTTGACTTTGTGGTGGCCCTCACCTATGCTAACAGCTGTGCCAACCCTATCCTGTACGCCTTCTTGTCTGACAACTTCAAGAAGAGCTTCCAGAATGTCCTCTGCTTGGTCAAGGTGAGTGGCACAGACGACGGGGAACGAAGTGACAGCAAGCAGGACAAATCCCGGCTGAATGAGACCACGGAGACCCAGAGGACCCTCCTCAATGGAGACCTCCAGACCAGTATCTGAACTGCCTGAAAAATCAATCAGTCAAGCGCCAAGCTCTGCGACCGGCTGTGTGCTCCGCACCCCACCCCCTTCCCTCCCTCACCCATCACCTGGCTTCTAGAATATGGAAGTGCTCAGCATGAGTCCACTTCAGAGAATGGTGTTTGAGTCCGGCTTGTCTGAGTGAATGACAATGTATTAAGCTGATTACCTCCCCCTTAAAGTGAACATTTAAATGCAGGCAGACAATTCAGAGTCTGGAGAGGTGATCTTTGGAGACCCTGAAGTTCCACAAAAACAGAAAACCCTCTCTGTGTGTTTGTGTGTTTAAAGCCCAATATGTAGTCTTGTGGTCTTACATTTATACTTGCCTGTTCCTATCTAGTCCCTGTATAGTCATGACCTACGTTTCCTGAGTTCATGTACACAAGTAGAAAGTTCAAATGTGCATAGTATAGGTGGACATTTATTTCAATATGGTACCCACAGGAATGGACTTACCCTGAAGCCAATAAAGTTTAAGCTTCAGGGGTCTCTCTTGCTTTGGCAGTATGTTCACATGGCCGTATGTTTTTGGGGAAAAAAAAAAAGAAAGTAAAAGTATGGCCATGCCACCTTGCTCACCCACAACAGACACACTAAACGTCGACCTTTAATCCACGGATTCCCTGGGCTACTCCTCAAGCACTGTTACAGACAGGCGCTTCACACCATCAGTGACGTTTTTCTGTCCCTGAAATTGTAGATGGGCTTGTATACAAGCAATAAGAAAAGAGATGATGCCCATTTCATTGGCTGATCACAATTTCCAGAGTACAAAGAAGTACACGCTCGGGTGTTTGCAAGGATGCCATCGTCTCTAGGTTTGTATGAAAGCCTCACTCTTAGTGTCTCACGTATCAATTATACCACATTTAGGAGTGAGCTTGCCTCTTCTGGCTCCCTAGGCAAGGGCTGCCTGACAGTTAGAATGACTAAGAGCTCCACCTGTGGTTACAGTGCTGCTTTTCTTCTATCTGCCTATGTAACTCATGCCACCTCATTCCCAAAAGCACCGTGGCCCAGAAGATATGTTCAATAAATAATGATAGATAAATCCAAGCAAAAATAAAAAGAGGTACAATTGTAAGATGAGACCATCTGGATAGTTGTTACACAGAACGCATGCCATAGGGACTTCCCTGGCAGGCCAGTGGTTAAGACTCTGCGCTTCCACTGCAGGCGGCGCAGGTTCAATCCCTGGTCAGGGAACTAAGATGCCACATGCCAAAAAAAAAAAAAAAAAATGCATTCAGTAAAATCCCACAAGGTTACCAAAGGAAAGGTCAGCTGCAAGGTCAGCTCAGGACCTCTTAGCAGCCGCAACTAATGGACAGTGACGCCCCCTCCTCCTCCCTTCTCCTCTTTCATAAAAACAAGCAAAGATTGGCAATGAAATGCTTTAAACCCAACTTTACCATTATTGTAATATGTGATGTTCCTGGGTCTTTGCATAAACGCTGACAATTACTTAGAGAAGTGATTCCAAGGGACCGAGAATAATCCTAGCCTCCACTCAACATGTAATTATGAAGACAGATCGGCTGGATGCCAGGAGAGAATAAAAAGTGATGTACTCCACTGATTTTAGGATATCTGAGCATTTGGGTTATGCAAGCTACTACTTACCTTCCATTCTCATGGGTGGTGAAGAGCGGTTTAAACCTAAGCGGATGTAGTGAGAAAGGTATCAGGAGAGATGATAGGACATTGGGGCCTGTGTGGAATATGATGTTAGCTTGTGTTTCAGTTAACACAGAGAGCTGAGTAATATTGGACATGGGGTTGGAACTTTGGTGAGGTTCATGCCATAGCTTGGGACAGTCTAAGAGGACACGAGGACAAGGACACTGAAGGATAGAAGGACGCTGCACTTCTTTCTTTTGCTTGTTTTTATGAAGAAGAAAAGAGAAGGAGAAGGAGTCACGCTCCATTAGCTGTGACTGCTGGGCAGTTCTGAGTTGAACTCGTACCTGATCCTGAGTAATCATGTGTGATTTTGCTGCATGCATTTAAAAATTTTTTTAATTGAAATACAGTTAATTTACAAAGTCATTAATTTCTGCTATACAGCAAAGTGATTCAGTTATATATATTATTTTTTATATTCTTTTCCATGATGGTTTATCATAGGATATATATATATATATATTTTAACAACTTTATTGGGGTATAATTGCTTTACAATGGTGTGTTAGTTTCTGCTTTATAACAAAGTGAATCAGTTATACCTATACATATGTTCCCATATCTCTTCCCTCTTGCGTCTCCCTCCCTCCCACCCTCCCTATCCCACCCCTCCAGGCGGTCACAAAGCACCGGGCTGATCTCCCTGTGCTATGCGGCTGCTTCCCACTAGCTATCTACCTTACGTTTGGTAGTGTATGTATGTCCATGCCTCTCTCTCGCTTTGTCACAGCTCACCCTTCCCCCTCCCCATATCCTCAAGTCCGTTCTCTAGTAGGTCTGTGTCTTTATTCCTGTCTTACCCCTAGGTTCTTCGTGACATTTTTTTTTCTTAAATTCCATATATATGTGTTAGCATACGGTATTTGTCTTTCTCTTTCTGACTTACTTCACTCTGTATGACAGACTCTAGGTCTATCCTATCATAGGATATTGAATAAGTTCTCTGTGCTATACAGTAGGACCTTGTTGTTTATCCATCCTATATATAATAGTTTATTGCATGCATTTTTGTGTAACAACTTTCCCTACAGTGTCATCTTATAATTGTGCCTCTTTTTGTTTTTGCACAAACTTATTTATCTCTCATAAATGGTAGGCAGAGAAGAAGACGGAGGCTGGTGGCTGGGAATTCAGAGCTGGCAGTGAGCTGGAGTCTGCTTACACAAACTCATCCTCTCCTCCAAGACAGAATACAGGCATTGAAGCTTTCGGCCCCAGCTGCCCTAAGTAGGAGCCTCGTGCTGGAAAAGCGTACAGCCTGGTCACTGACAAAGGCAGCAAGTAGGTGGTTGTCGAGATAGATGCTCGTAATCAGCCCCAGACGTGGCTGTCCAACCAAGACCATCAAGTTACAATGAAAGACAGAAACGAACTTCGGCCTCGTTGAAGAAAGGGGGAAGAGAACCTTCAGAAGGTTCCTTATGTGATGCAGAAGGTCTGATGAGTGTTTCTGAAACATGCATCACCACAAAAAAAAATCACAATATTTAGCGGACCAAGCATTTGGGCTTATAAGTAATAACTTATAATCAGCCACTTTTCTAATCCATATTTTTTGCCAGATTCAAAAACACCAAATTTCCTATCAAACGTTCTAGCAAAGCAAACCTTCACCTAAGTAGTTGTTCTGCGTCTAATATGTTAGAAGCAAGACAACTTTCATTCTCATAGGCAGAGCCTCTAATTTTTTTTTTTCCCTAGCAGCTCTTCTAGAAAGTAGGCACCAGGGACTGTATTCTGCTTACAGCTAGAAAGCTTTTATAGCAGTTACCCAAGTCGGCAGACCATCAGAGCTAAGAATAACAGCTCAAGGCCAAGCTTTCACACCTGCCACTCCCACCGCCAACTGCAGTGACTGCCCACCCTTTCCTTTAACTCGGCAGTGACTGAACACAGGCTGGGTACCTAGTTTCCTCGTTTAGATGTGTCAGGTTGTAGATATCTGGACTAGGCTTCAAAACAGAGCTAAATATTAACCAAGACTTAACCAAGTTAAATAGAAAACATGATCGATTCTCCTAAGATTGAAAGTGAGTATAATATCATTAAATGAAACGCTGTAGCTTGATCGCTGGGCTCCATGAACATCTGCTCCCGTAGGACAAAGGTGTTCAGCATGAGAAAGCTGATGACACAGAGGCTCAGGTCCAGGTGGGCAGAGAGGGATTTTTCACGGAGAAGGAGAGCCTTTATTTTTTTCATCTCTCTCCTTTCCTGGCATCATTGAAGGGCCAGACTCGGGGGAGGAAAAGACCTCTTTGCCAGGATATGTGTCTGGTCCAGACAGGGGGCTTATTTGTGACCCTGATCCTACAAGGACTGGAAGCAGAAAAGGAATGTACTGGTTAGAGATAAAATTGCCCCATCCTTTTCGAAAAGCCCGTCGAGGAATGGGAGGCAAGGCCCACTTAAAAAGAAATCTGAAACGGCTTCCCAGGGCTTTACCGACTCCAGTTATTCAGTGATGGGACCTCCAATCCCTTAAGCAGTAGAGAAGGTCCCTTGGCAGTGGCAGTCCCCGAAGAGAGAAAGGGGGGTGTGCTGTGAGCTACCAAATAAGGCTATTGTAGCCTGGACACAGAAGACACAGGGGTCCCAGGTCCTTACAAAGAAAAGATTACTAGGTAGCCAGTACGGGGCCCCTGAGAGAAGATTGCTAGTCTCAAGAGAAGAAGAGCCACCAGTAGCAGGACTACGTGTAGTCGCAGCAGATACCACAAAGGAGCAGCAATGCCCTCCTGGACGGTGCGTCCTGCGCCCCCAACCTGGCCGATGGCTGGGAATCAGTTCCCCTGAGACCCCTCATCCTCCAGGCCAGGCAACATAGTCATTCCTGAGAGAGCCGATATTTTTTCTCATGGACACTGTTTTTTAACAAGAACCCCAAATGCTTCTCAAATAACAAAACAAAGCCTTAGGTGTTTTCTTAACATTAACCAGAATCCCACTACTCCGGAGAAATGGACTGTCTTCCAAGGCTCTCAAGTTCAGCTCAACTGGTACCTTCGCTGCACTGGGTGTGCTCAGACACACACGGGTGACGCAACGGAGCGCATGCACACACATGTGATGCACATACACGTGAAGGACACATTCACACGTGTGCACATGACATGCATGCGGACGTGTAACACACACTCACGTGCACACACAACGCACCTTCTGTATCTTTTGGGCAAGACCTCCAATGCAGAGATTCTCCAAGGCTTTCAACTGAGGAAGAGAACTAGAATCTGACTAACTCATTTGAAGTCTAAGGATACTGAGTCTTTTTTTTTTTTTTTTTTTTTGCGGTACGCGGGCCTCTCACTGTTGTGGCCTCTCCCATTGCAGAGCACAGGCTCCGGACGCGCAGGCTCAGCGGCCATGGCTCACGGGCCCAGCCACTCCGCGGCATGTGGGATCCTCCCGGACCAGGGCACGAACCCGCGTCCCCTGCATCGGCAGGCGGGCTCTCAACCACTGCACCACCAGGGAAGCCCTTGAGTCATTTTTTTTCTGGTAGGGGAGAGGGACATTGTGCCTGCAGTAATTTTTCACCTGGAGGATTCCGTGCCAGGTCACACACTGCACACCTAGCCCCAGCCAGCTGTCCCTGCAATAACACCTCAAAATTAAAAAAAAAAAAAAAAAAAAAAAACAGGGTTGGCAAAAGGGTTACCATCCTCACCAGTCAACCAACCTAAAGTGAAGGTCCTGCTCACAGCAATAATTTTGTATAAGAAAAACAAGATAACTTCTTTGCAGAAAAGTCACTCCAAATAATTTTTAAATTGATTCTCATCAAGGACAGTGTTTTCATAGGCCTTCCCCACCTGCCGCCACGCTTCCTAATGCAAACCTTAGGT